GTTCTTCAACCAAATTCACAGATAGGATGTTTTCCAATAAAATTCTGAAATAGGGCGTTCTCAATCAAATTCTGGGGTAGGGGATTTTGGAAAAGTTTTCTGAGATAGGCCGTTTTCGAATTGGCTGTCGAGATAAGTCGATTTTCCACTCAGCCATCGATATGTAGTGTTAAAAAAAGAAAAAGAAACCGATTCGTTTAATACGATTTTGAATATCTATTATTTATTTGATATTCCAGTCGCAGTCCAAAACGGAGAACTATCAAAATCACTTCTACTTTGTTGGATATATTTACTATATATTTAAAAAACGCGTTTTACAAACAAACATATTTTAAAGTAATAGAAACCATTAAACTAAAATTCATGTTCAAGATAAGGTGAAAATTAAAAGTTGCGTTAGCAAAATAAATACATTGATCTCTAGTAAGTCTTCCACAAAGTACTTTGTAAATTTCCTTATCTCTTATTCACATTGAAGTAAAGCTTTAGGCACAACATAACACCTGTATTCACCTAGTTCAGGTATTGGTTTCTTTTCGACCCATTCATCACATTCGGCATTATAAACTGACACGGACTTTGAGTACCGGCCTCCGACAGCCCACAGTTTATCACCTACAAAAACACAACCCATGCAACTACGTCCAACGTTCAAAGAGCACATCTATGAAAAGTAATAAAAAATTGTATTTTGGCGTTTTTAAATTTTTGGTGTAACTATTTCAACCAACCTTTGTCCATTTGTTACTTTGAGGGTCATAACGCTCGACTGTTTTATTTCCGGAAAGTCCACATAAAACGTATATGCTGCCTTTGTGTACGGCTGCCTAAAATGTAAAGTTTTATGCATACATTAGGACAAATCGACCTCTGATTATGCTTTTATCGTAGGCGACAAAAGGTAAATTTTACAGGAGAGGTTTTTTTAATTCTCCTTATTGAATGATAACTTTCTAATGGGACTATTTATTTTTTGCATACCTTATTTTCTAAAGGTAAAATGGCGCTTACGTTATTTTTCCTGAACATGCTGAGAGGAAAGTTATCAAAGAATTGGCGCTTGCGATAGTTTTTATGTTGTATAATTTGGATATTTATAAACGAAGGAGTGCCGGTACTTTAAGGATTTTTTGAAAAAACTGAATTTTAAGTCAATTAAATATAAACATTGTCAATCAGCAGAATAAGCTCAACATATTTTCAACTTTAACTGTTTGGCGCATCTACTATATTGTCCACAAGTTGCCTTCGTGGATGCAGAGTTTAGCTCATTCAATTCTCTACAAACTAAAACGACCACATTGGCGCTACTATTTGGTATTTTTTCACGTCTGTTTTTTAAGAATGAGAAAAAAGTAAAATTTAATCCTTGACTAGAATACGTTCAGTGCCAAAATCTTCATATTAGGGAGATTTTTGGTAAGTTTCGAAATCTGTTGTTATATTCCTCGACTCGTCGTGCGTTTTAAACCTAGTTATTGGAGAGGAAAAAATTGCTAAACGAAAACTTTTAATCAAATACTAAAATTTTATATAAAAAAAAGGCTAAAGTGCAAAAGTTATGATAAGCAAAAGTGATAAATCAATATCTGATCAGCAATTTGAAAGGAGATAAACGGTAAAATGAAATAATTTC